TCTATTATTACTTTATTGTTACAATCATTAACAGTATGATTATAATGTTTACTCTATTATTACTCTATTATTACTTTCATTAAGAGTGTTGATTATAATGTTTACTCTATTATTACTTTATTGTTACAATCATTAACAGTATGATTATAATGTTTACTCTATTATTACTTTCATTAAGAGTGTTGATTATAATGTTTACTCTATTATTACTTTATTGTTACAATCATTAACAGTATGATTATAATGTTTACTCTATTATTACAATCATTAAAAGTGTTGATTATAATGTTTACTCTATTATTACTTTATTGTTTCAATCATTAAAAGTATGAGTATAATGTTTACTCTATTATTACTTTATTGTTACTTTCATTAACAGTGTTGATTATAATGTTTACTCTATTATTACTTTATTGTTACAATCATTAACAGTGTTGATTAGCACCATTGCTATACAAATAGCGACTGTCACAGCTCCTGGCTGTTTGTGTGTTTGTTTTCGATTATAGACTTGTACCGTTAACATGCGTAAAATAAAATAAATATGTAAACAGCGGGCGGTTTCCTCAGGCACTCGTGATCGTCTCACACAAACACCCATTGTCTATGTGGGAAAAAACAAGGCTGACTTCTATGGAGTCCAGGGGAACTTTGTGAATGTCGTGTTTTTTGCAAACTTTTGTGTTATAATCCCCCAAGCTATCGCTGAAGCACGGGGGAGGTCAAATGGCGTTATGACTGTGATAGTTATAAAAACAGAAAATACCGCGTATATACGGTATACACTTTTTTGTTATAAGGTTTCTGATACCATCCACAGTTGTAATATTACAATAACTCCGTATTGTGGACCTGTGTGACCACAGTTAGGCTGCTTGCTTAGAACAAAGAAGATACCCGTTCAATCTTTTTTCATACCGGACTACAGAAGACGTCTTGGAAATAATGTTTTCTGATTAGTAAAACTCTGAATTCAGCCTTGAAATTGGGATATATATGAAAAGACAGAACGCACGAGCACCCCGGTGACTCAGGGTTAAGCCTGAGGGCACATAACGCTAAAAATATGGTTTCAATACCCGATATGAACAAAGCACAGCTAGCCAATTGTGCAGCTTTTCGTTCAACAAACAACCAGAACACACGAAGGACAATGTTGGACAATGTTCAACACATTATAGACTAATATAATAGCAACATTTTCAGCTCCTTGCTCTTTGAAAGCTTCCTTACCCATGAGCGAAATCAGTCACCCTAACCAGGGTTCCATGTTTGGTTTATTTGACTCACTAGAAAGATGAGGTTGAGAGATTGTCAGTGATGAACGTAGAGAAGCGTGTTACTACCCCTCCTAGTCACCTGCTTTAATATTAGCAGGGAAACTTCGGTGAGGGAGTACAAAACTGCTCGTCAGACACTGACTTCTGACCTTATGAATGCCACTAGCAACTTATGACAAATGCCTGTGAAGTCGTAAGATAACCCTCTATATTAGTAGGTCCTTCTGAAACATTTCCCCTATAAAAGTTATACACAACAGTGAAATCGTGCCTGATTCAGGTGCGTTACTGGGAGGGAGTCCCCCAGTGGCACAGCGATATGTCTGCGGACTTACAACGCTAGAATCCGGGCTTCGATACCCGTGGTGGGCAGAGCTCAGATAGCCCATTGCGTTACTGGGAGGGAGCCCCCCTAGTGGCACAGCGATATGTCTGCGGACTTACAACGCTAGAATCCGGGTTTCGATACCCGTGGTGGGCAGAGCACAGATAGCCCATTGCGTTACTGGGAGGGACCCCAAATGTCAGTTTCTGTGAAACATTTCTAATCAGGTCGGATTAACACATGTACGTAAATTACAACATAACGCTGAATTTGGGGGGCCCAAACGAGGTCAGCCTTTTTTTGCCCCCTTCCAACCTTTTGTGAAATTACGCTCCTGGGCTAATTATTTCTTAGAAAATATCTCGTATCATCTAGTTAAGATACTTCATGTGTTGAAAAAAAATACTATTACAATAGCGCCTATTTCCAAACTTCTCGATAAATCGTAATCTACTAAAAAAAATAGTTCTTGATAAAACTTTGGTTTTTCTAAATCCGAGCTTCTCTTTCTTTGATGATATTAATAATTAACAAAATTAGCAATAATTAACAAGATTCCAGCTTCTACTTCTTTTTTAACAGGAATTTAATACATTTGCTGATCAATAATTAGACAGAGAAATGTTAAAGTAACGTACTCCGGAGAAATTACTGATGTAACCAGGATTGTTCTATAGTTTCTTCGATCGATTGCAGTGACTCCAAACGAAACCAGGTAGCGCTGATACTTCCCGTCTTTGTACTGAAACTGGTTGAAACTTACGAAGAGCCGAGACCATCTAAACACTGTTAGTCAACTGAGGCTGAAATTCGATAGCTTCTTCTACGGTGTCATCAGTTAACCCTAAACACTTCTAGAAAGCTCTGCACGTTTCCAGTTAGTTGTACTACCCACAGAAACTATGAGACGCATATTTGATGATTCTGAAAAAAGGAACTTGGCTGTCGTTATTGTGACAATAATCCTGTTACGATGTCATGATGTCATGTCACAGAATCAAGGTAAAGTCATGTCCTAAATAGCGCAGGTCTTACAATAATTTAACGCACTTACCAGGGCACTTGGCTTCATAAGGTCATTAATAGCAGGGTACCTAGCTTCGTAAGGTTATTAACTCTTTCATTGCCACATACATAAGTCAATTAATCTAGAAGTACCAGGTTAGTTTATAGATAGACAATATGGCATAGTGGCTAGGGCACTCGACTCGCAATCTACGTGTCGGGGGTTCGAATACCATCACCACACATGCTCGCCCTTTCAACCGCGGGAGTTTTATAATGTGATGATTAATTTCACTATTCATTGGTAAAAGTGTAGCCCAAGAGTTGGCGATGGGTGGTCTATCACTTCTAAATTAGGGACGGCTAGCTTTGTGCGAAGTTCAACAAGCAAACAAACGTGAAACTGGCAAACTTTGTGAAGTTTGGTCAAAAACTCCGAATTCGTATGGTAGTGAAAGAATTCAATAATAACTAAAACTAAAAAAACAACAACTAAAAACCAGAACCTTTAAAAATAATAGACTTTAACTGCCCTTCAAATAATATATTCCACCTGTCTTTGAAACAATGGGTTCTAGGCAAACTCAAAATAATCGATACTATCCACACCCAAAATAGTAGATTCCACCTGTCTTTGAAACAATGGGTTCTAGCCAAACTCAAAATAATCGATACTATCCACACCCAAAATAATAGATTCCACCTGTCTTTGAAACAATGGGTTCTAGCCAAACTCAAAATAATCGATACTATCCACACCCAAAATAATAGATTCCACCTGTCTTTGAAACAATGGGTTCTAGACAAACTCAAAATAATCGATACTATCCACACCCAAAATAGTAGATTTCACCCGTCTTTGAAACAATGGGTTCTAGGCAAACTCAAAATAATCGATACTAACCACTATCCAGCCGTCCTTGAAAAAAAAATTAGGTACCTCAAAATTATATTCTACCACTCATTGTAAAAAATATGATGATTAAAACCCACATTATATGGTAAGTAATAGTGGTTTTACCTTATGGTGTCACGTCTCTTATTTCTTTTTACAGTTACAAACAAATAAAGGCTGTTGCTGCGTTCTTATTTCGGTTTTGTTAGGGAATCAGAAAGTTTTGGATCTAAACTTGTACAAAATTCACCTAAAACCACTTACGGTGGGTTAATCGTTCAATTAAAACAAATCAGTAATTAGGGGCTCTCTTCGTGTGGTAATGAATTTATAAACGGATGTTTCACACACCTCATTCCTCAGCTAAGTGACTATTGAAGAAATAGTAATAGCTGTCCGACATGCTTAATGTCTATTTACAAATAGTTAAGACAGTTTAGAACTCATTCAGGTTGTACAACCTTGTTATCTAAAACTAAAAACTCTGCTTAATAGTGTTTAAACTCGGCGCAAATTTCAGCAACTGTCCTACATAACAAAAGAAACTAAGTTTTACCAACAGTTTGTTACAAAGTTTCAGTCTTGACAATAAAATTTAATTAGAAACAGATGTATAATGGTAAGACCTTTAAGTTATTTAGTGTAAGCAAATGTAGTTTCCTGCTACAATTTGAAGTAATTCTAGAAAGGAAAAAAAAAGGATAATTTTGACTTATTTTGTATTTTTATGGTGGTTACGAGGTTGGTCAAACTGACCGACTTCACATAAAAATTAAGGTTGTAAATATAGCAAATAAAATATGAAGATTCATCGAAAAAAAAGGTTGGAAAATTATTTCGGAGGTTTTAAAGATTATGCAAAAGAAATCTGTTAATTTTTAGACGGAAAAAAATATTTTTAATCTTAACACGAAAATCGCTTTACACTCGGAGCAGTGACTACTTTGACTCCATGTATTAAAACATTAATTTTTAGCAAATTTACTTTATTAGAAATTCATATTTTTTCTGTTCAAAAGACTTATAAGGTTTACTGAAAGCTTGCCAAATTTCGTGAAGATACATAAATCGTATCGTATCGTATCGGACGATGTATCAATACCATACTCATATCGTATCGCTGTATCGCCACACCCCCACAGAATAATAAAGGAAATTAAGCACTCAGCACAAATTTCAAAAATTGTCCTTTTCAGGACAACAGAGTAACCAAGAAAACTAAAGACTCAGCAAAGTCATACATTTCAAGGACCGTCTTTTTGAAGACTTACAAATTTCCACAACCGTTTTTTTTAAATAGTTGTGAATAACAAAAGAAACTAACGATTCACCATAAGTTATAAAAATGGAACAAAAAACATTACTAAAAAAACTACCACATTGTCTGTCGCGAACATTTCTGTAGCTATAAAGTACTGCACACAGTAACTGCTGTATATCTTAGGGATCTGTCTGACCACTAGTATAGATAAATAGGATGCATTCACGAAATTACGTTTCTTCTCATCGAAAACCTGCTGTACCTAGCCATTTGCGTGTTCAAACCCAGTATAACAGAAAACTCGATTAGGGGCTTAATTCGAAAACAGACATGTCGTTAAGAAAACCGATGTAAAAGATGAGTCTCGAGTATGTATCGATTGATAGAGAATAGTCGGTCAAGGACTGTGAATCGAGGGGTTTTGTAGTTTGCGATCTTCTATTTGGGTTCGCTTTAATCGTATTTTTCGGGTAGAAAAAGAGTAACTCAAGAGTTTGAAGTGGACGCTGCTGTTTTCCTGTAGCCTATCACTTCGAATTACGGACGTCAGAGAACCCTTGTGGTATTTTTAGGCGAAAATGTTAAAATAAGCAAACCTGTTTGTTTTAGCAGCAAAACCAGAGACAACACACACACACACACAAAAATCAGTCTGGAGTGGATTTGTTGTCACTTCAGGCCATGTAAACTTTCTTAGTTTAAGAAATCAAATATCTAGTAAATTTATTATTTTATAATCAGCAGCTGGAAAAGGGTTGTTTGTTTGTTTGTAATTAAGCACAAAGCTACACAATGGGCTATCTATGCTCTGCCCACCAGGGGTATCGAAACCCGGATTCTAGCGTTGTAAGTCCGCAGAAATACCGCTGTGCCACTGGGGGCCTGGAAAAAGGAACACTATCAGTTATAAACAGTGTTCTCTTGGTGTGAGTAATGTAAATCCGTAATTGTATTATATTTTTTTCAACGTTCAGTTAAATCGTATGCGGAAAGTGTTCTAAGATTGCTGGAACGGAATTGACAGATTGTTTATTATTAAGCATGAAGTTACACAATGGGATATCTGAGCTCTGCCACCGCGGGTATCGAAACCTAACATCATTAAGCTTACACATCATTAATTAGTTCAAATCGCGTGTTACGGGCTAGTTTGTTTTGTTTTTTGAATTTCGCGCAAAGCTACACGAGGGCTATCTGCGCTAGCCGTCCCTAATTTAGCAGTGTAAGACTAGAGGGAAGGCAGCTAGTCATCACCACCCAC